TGCAAACCATTATGTTGATACAAGTTTTAGAAAAACTTTGTATTGATATTATACAGACTTGGATCTACCATAATTTAAATAATGTTCTCCCAAACATATTTCCCCATTAAAAATGTCCACTACACCTTGGTGAGTCTCTGAGGCAAGTGTCTGAGCGGTCTCTGCTCCAGTGCCATGTCTTCACCTCCCAGGCCTCCTCTAATCAAACCTCCCCATCCTTCAGAGTTTGGGACTAGCAGATGCAAACTCATATATAGAATGGATAAACAACAGGGGCCTATTGTGTAGCACAGGGAACTATATTCAATATCCCTTAAGAAACCATAATGGAAAAGAATATGAAAAAGTTTATATATATATAACTGAATTCCTTTGCTGCACACCAGAAACTAACACAACTTTGTAAATCAACTATACTTCAATTAAAAAAGAATCATTTAAGGACTTCCCTCGTGGTCCAGTGGTTAAGAGTCTGTGCTCCCAATGCATGGGGTCTGGGTTCGATCCCTGGTCAGGGAACTAGATTCCACGTGCCACAACTAAGAGCCTGCATGCTGCAACTAAAAAGATCCCGCATGCCACAGCTAAAGATCCCTCATGCCTCAACTAAAGATCCCGTGTGCTGCAACTAAGACCCGGCACAGCCAAATACATACATACATACATACATAAATATTTTTTTAAAAAAGAATCATTTACCTGTAATAATAGGTCCATAATAATGCTAGTCAATAAACATGTATAGGGGCTTCCCTGGTGGTGCAGTGGTTGAGAGTCCGCCTGCCGATGCAGGGGACACGGGTTCGTGCCCCGGTCCAGGAAGATCCCACATGCTGCGGAGTGGCTGGGCCCGTGAGCCATGGCCGCTGAGCCTGCGCGTCCGGAGCCTGTGCTCCGCAACGGGAGAGGCCACAACAGTGAGAGGTCCGCGTACCGCAAAAAAACAAAACAAAACAAACGTATATATTTAGAAAAAGAACCTCCCCATCCTGTGTCCATCCAAGCCCCAAGGCCCCACCAGGCTCCAAGTTAACTGGTCTCAAATAAATGTATTGAATCAGGATATTAAACACTGATACTGCAAAATGCTCACACAATTGTGTAAAGAAGAAATCTGACAAAGGAAAAGATGTTCAACCTCACATGCAGTCAAAAGAATGCAAATATGATATAATTTTTCAATTACCAAATGCACAAAAGTGAAAAGGAATGACAATACTAGAGTTTGAGAGACTTCAAAGAAATGTGAGGTCTCCTGTACATTGGTGGAAGTATGAATTGGCACAGCTTTCTGGAGAGCAGTTTGACAATGTATGTCATACACGTAAAAATGTGCAGACACAGCAGTTCCACTCCTGAGAGTTTATTGTAAGGAAATTATTGAACAGGGGTCAAGGAAATTCAAACCAGCCTTGTTTATAATAAAGAATAATTAGAAATAATCTAAATGTTGACCAAATGAGGTTTATTCACATAAATTATGGTCTACTCATACAATGGAATGCTAAAGAGCCTTTAAAATGATATGAATATTTTTAGACATTTATAGACATGAAAGGATATCCATTAGATACCACGCCCTTATGGTGTCATTAATGTAAAAGTGTGTGTGTGCATGCATGCACGTGTGAGTTCATGCACACAGAGATCTAATATGAAGGTCATCAGAATATCAACCATGGCGTCTTCTGGTTGGGAGAGCTTTGAATGTCTTTACTTTCTTATTTCCTTATTGTTTCTAAACTTAAAAAAGCAACATTATTTATTTTCACATTAATAGCTAACACTAACAGAGTGTGCATTACGTGCCAGGCACTTCTCTAATTGCTATAAACTGTTAGTATTCCTAACGAAGACAAAGGTGGTGAGAGATTGAGTAACTTGTCCAAAGTCCGTAGCTAGTAAACGTGAAGCTGGAATTCAAAACCTGGTTGTCGGGATTTCCCTTGTGGCGCAGTGGTTAGGAATCCGCCTTTCAAGGCACGGGACACGGGTTCGAGCCCTGATCCGGGAAGATCCCACATGCCGTGGAGCAACTAAGCCCGTGCGCCACAACCACTGAGCCTGTGCTCTAGAGCCCACAAGCCACAACTACTGAGCCCACATGCCACAGCTACGGAAGCCCACGTGCCTAGAGCCCGTGCTCCGCAATGAGAGAAGCCACTGCAATGAGAAGCCTGCGCCCTGCAATGAAGAGTAGCCCCTGCTCACTGCCACTAGAGAAAGCCCACACGCAGCAATGAAGACCCAACGCAGCCAAAGATAAATAAAAAATAAAACTTGGTTGTCTTGCTCCACAGGTTGCACTCTTACTACACTAATTAACCCCAATAGATTGAAAGTCTCTTAAATCCTCCCCCCACCAACAACCCCACACTTCTCTTCAGAAGTAACCATTTAACCACCTGACAGGCATCCTTTCAAAACTGCTGCTGGGCATGTTCAGACACATGTGTAAACACACAAACACACATGTGTGTTTTTCTTTTTTTATAGAATGGGATGCATAGTTCACCCTTGTGCTTTTTATCTCTGAGTGTTATTCTTCAGCATGGATGTATGGAATTGACGTAACCATGTCTTTACTGAAAACTGGTGGTTTCCAGTTATTCACCCTACTGGACAAAGCTGCAGTAAGCATCTCCTGGTATACATATTACTGTGTGTAGATGTGCAATGATACTCCTGTGATAATTTCCTAGAAATAGAACTGCTCAGTCAAACGACAAAAGAGACTCCCCAGTTCCCCACCCCAAGAAGGCTACGTGGCTACACTATATATATATATATATATATATATATACATACACACACACACACACACACACATACTATATTCATACATACAGTTTGAGTGCCCACCCCCCATGTTTCCACCAACACAGGAAGTTGTCAATCTTTTAAATTTTTGCCAATATGAAAAGTGAAGGATGTTGTTTCATTTGCAACAATTTAAATGTTCTTGATTACTAGTAAAGTTGAACATCTTTTCATACATTTATTGGCCATTATTTCTTTTCAGAATTGTTCACTTTTCAGTTGGGTAATTTGAGTTTTTCTTATTGATGTGAAGAAGCTTTGTGGACTTCCCTGGTGGTCCAGTGGTTAAGACTCCACGCTTCCAAAGCAGGGGGGTGCAGGTTTGATCCCTGGTCAGGGAACTAAGATCCCACATGCCATCTGGTGCAGTCAAAAAAAAAAAAAAAATCCTTTGATGCCCTGTTTGTTGCAAATATTTTCTGAGTATGTTGCATTTATGTGAATCTCATTTATGTCTTATTGTGTTACACAGAGGTTTTAGTTTATTTTTATGTAACAAAATGTGCCCATTTATTTTCCCTTTATGGTTTTCCATCTTGCTTAAGAAGTCTTTCTCCACAACCACAACATTCTCCTATATTCTCTTCTAGTATATTTATATTTATAGATTTTAACATGGTTATTTATTTATTTTAATTGTGGTAAAATACATATAACATAAACTTTACCATTTTAACCATCTTTAAGTGTACAGTTCAATAGCATTAAGTACATTCACATTGTTGTGTAACCATCGCTACCATCCATCTCCTGAACTCCTTCATCTCACAAAACTGAAACTCTGTACCACTTAAACAGTAAGTTCCCTGCCTCTCTCCCCTCAGCCCCTGGTAACCACCATTTTACTTTCTGTCTCTATGAATTTGACTACTCTAGGTCCCTCATAGAAGTGGAATCTTACAGTATTTGTCCTTTTGTGACTGACTTATTTCACTTAGCATAATGTCTTCAAGTTTTACTCATGCTGTAGCATGCGTCAAAATTTCCTTTATTTTAAGGCTCAACAATATTCCATTATAGATTTATTTTTATGTCTAGCCTTTAATCCACATAGAATTTAGTAGTGCTTGGTAAGAAGTAGGGACTTTTTTATATTTAGGTTGGTCATCTTTTAAACGGCTCCTCCATCAAAACCCAAATTCCCGTGGGGGCTCAGGTCTGTTTCCAGACTGTTGTTTTACTGATCCCTTTGTCTATATCTGGACTGGAATTACAATGCTTTAATTAAGGTTTTCAGTAAGTTTTTATATCTGCTAAAAGCATGTCCCCTCCCCATTCTTCTTTTTTTAGACTTTCCCGAACCACTCTCAGACATTTACTTTTTCAGAGGAACTTTAGAATTAGATAGTCACGGTCCAAAAATACTCCCCTGGGATTTTGATTGGCATAGCTTGACGCTACTCACTAACTTGAGGTCGACATCTAATAAAGCTGAGCCAGCAGGTCTCCAGCCAGATTTTGCTTCCCAGCGGCTCTCCAGGCTGTGCGGTGCTGCCCTCTGCGGGGGAGGTACAGGCCAGTGCTACCTCTGCCAGCCTGCCCGAGGCCTTCCCACTTGGTCCCCTCCACCCCAGCCTATGATTCCAAGGCTTCTAGAAAGGACAAACTCCTACATACCCTTGGTTTAATTTCTTTCCTTCCTCAAATGACGTTTAGATTTTAACTTGAACTTTCAGAGCCAAAATACGAGTGGGACTCATGGAAACCTCAGGCCCTACACTAGAACTGTGGGGAAATACTTTCCTGCTCCCAGCAAACACCCCATAAGGCAGACACTGAACACATGTGTGACCAGTAGACGGGTACCTAGGGCCCAGTGGACGATTTTTTAACGGCTCTATTATTAATGGGTACCATAACGTTCCCTTGTTTTAAGTGTATGAATTAAATGAGTTTTAGTAAATGTACAGGAGTTGTGTGACCATCACCAAATCCAATTTTAGAACATTTCCACCACCCTAAAAGTATCCTTCATGCCCGTTTATAGTCATTCTCTGATACCACATTGTCCTGAGCATTACTGCATCAGGAGGAGTGGGGGACCGAGTGCGGATGTCCCCAGGAGATCCTCTGCCTGTGAGTCTAGGACCAATGCCCCAACAGTGTGCATAGCATGACTCACAGCTCTGGGCTCCTCCTGAGGGCAAAGGCCATGCTGAGCCCCATCCTTACTTTTCCAGGTGGATAAAGTTTGAAGAAAAGGTAGAGGAAGGAGGCGAGCGCTGGAGCAAGCCCCATGTGTCCACACTGTCCCTGCACAGCCTCTTTGAGCTCCGGACCTGCCTGCAGACGGGGACGGTGCTGCTGGATTTGGACAGCGGCTCCTTACCACAGATCATAGGTGAGGCAAAGGACCGCTGTGGCCCCCACCAAGCAGGGCAGCGTCCCCCTTCACCTGCCCCATCTCATGCCCACCCTTGGTCTGCATGGCACACCCACCTCTGATGCCTGCCTAATTCTGCAGAGACCAGGCTTTGGGTCTGAGGCCCCCAAGGCAGTGTCACAGTTGCTCCAAGTTTCAGATACACGTAGAGAGGGAAAGGTCAGCGTCTGAAATGCCATCCAGCAATGTAACAAAAGGGAGAAGGGCTTCTTCGCGTGGTTGGAGACACCTATTGCCATGGCAACCTGTTTCTTGTCAGGGTAAATAGATCACCATTCATCTTTAGGAAATTAGCTCTCGTTTGATAGAGTGGCAAAGGGAGGGAGCGGCTTGCCTTATCATCCCTAAAACTTCTTGTGAATTTTGTTTTAGCACATTCAGTTTTGCCAGAACTACATTGCCCAAAATACTTTTCTAAAAAGAATTCACGTTAGGACTAAAACCACTTAGCATTGTACCTTGTGCTTCTTAGGGTACTTTCATGTGTACAATTTCATTTATTTTCCACAATGTTATTGATAGAAAGAGCAGAGAATCCTATACCCACACAAGCATGCACATGTGCACCCACATGGGCACACAATGCACCCCCATGCACACGCACATACATACACCAACTCCCACAGACATGCACACACCCTTTTACACATAAGGAGGCTGAGCGTTCATGACTGGTTCAAATTTTCAGTTCTGTGGCAAAGGTGGGACTATTTCTACATTCCCTGCCTCCTTTAGGTCACTTTTAATCCCACTAATAACAGATGAAACTGAAGACCCCCACACCCCTGGTCATTCGGTGCCACGTGGACAAGGCATGTTTGTTTCCCACTTAGATGATGTCATTGAAAAGCAAATCGAGGACGGCCTCCTTCGGCCAGAGCTCCGAGAGAGGGTCAGCTACGTCCTACTGAGGAAACACCGTCACCAAACCAAGAAGCCCATCCACCGCTCCTTGGTTGACATTGGAAAGTCAGTCTCCTCCACCACCAGTGAGTTGGGCCATACGCTGGTGGCTTGTTCTGTGCACGCATCTCAAACCTGCAACCCTCCACTCTTGATACCCCAGAGTTGAGATGCCCAGACACTAGCCTTGCCGGACCTGTCAGATAAACGCAATAATCGGTACAAAGTCGATAACGCTGCTACCTAAGGAGACTTGAGGAATCTCCTTAGATGAATTATTTTAAATGGAAAATGTTTAGCCTACAGTGGGCACGTACTCGGCGCTTACCTGGGTTCCAGGCACTGGCTGAGTGCTCCACACGTATCAACTCACTTCATCCTCACAACAACCCCATGACTAGGTATTGTCCTCATCACCCCCAGTTTACAGACGAGGAGGCTGAGGCACGGAGAGGCTGAGTTACGTACCTAAGATCACATGGCCAGTAGGTCGTGGGACCAGGGGTCATCTACGACACCTGGTGTCTATTTAATCAATTGTATATCTATTTCACTTTCAAAGGTACAAATATTTTCTCTAATCATGTTCAGGCTATTCACTTGCTGAAAAAAATCCTGAAAAACAAGAACCAAAACCAGAACATCCTTTCTTCCTAGAAGGGGAAGAGACATGTCTTGCAGCCCAGCTTTATTTAGGTGACACGATTGTAAACGTGAATTGTGCTAACGGAAGAAGCTGCGCCACTCCAGCAAGTCGGCCGAAGTCAAATCTCTTCTGTCCCTCCTCCCAGATCGCAGCCCAGGCCGGAGCCCCGCGGCGGGCCCCGGCCTACACCACTCCACCGAGGACCTGAGGATGCGGCAAAGCGCGAATTACGGCCGCCTGTGTGAGTATCTTCTTTCTCTGCCACTGTGTGGCAGCTTCGTCCTGGCTGTGGCCACTCTGGAGTCAATTTTCATGCTTTCATAGCAGAGGAGGTAAAGCCCAGGGTCTGTCTAGAACTCTCAGGCATCCGAAGAAATCTAACTTTCACCCTAAACCTGGGCTGCCCTCAGAGTCTAACTTACTACCGTAATTTTCTAAATAATTCCTCCAAAAACTGCAGCTCTAATCAAGTCCTGTCATAATCAATACCCAATCCTGTGTGCTAGGCATTTTTAACTTAGTCTATGGCTTTATTTTCACCAAACTGATCATTAGCTCTGTTTTTGGTGAGACGTCTTCCTAGAAACAATTAAAAGCAGGCTAGGTCCTTTGCCCCAGGACAGAGAATGTTCCCATCCCTGGATGACGGTCTTGGGCCCCAGACAATGAAATGCTGGTGGAGCTGCAGCCCCTGAGGGCTGTGACTGGGTGAGTGGAGCCTGTGAGGGGCATGGTCACAGACCGGGTTTTGTCAGGCAATTCATCAGGGCTGAACAGACAGGTGAGCTGTGAGGCAAAGAAAAGAGGGAACTTGGGAAGTGAAAAGAAAAAGCAGTGTGAAGGAGTATTTTCCTTTAAATGCTTTTACTAGAATGACAAGATACGAACAAGCACATCCCAGGGCTGTGTCCCTGACCAGGCCAGAGGAATGCTTCAGGACAGTGACAGTGATGTGACCTTTGCCACGGCAGGGGTTTGTCACGGTCTTTTCTCTCTGTTCTTAGTGACCCCTGCTCTTAGTGACCTCCTGCTCTTAGTCTCCCTGGTCTTGGTTATTCCACAGAGGGAAGCTGGCAGTCAGAGACGGTGAATGGCTTTGGGACGAGCCTTCTGCTCTGTTATTTACTGTATATGAAGTGCCAATGCTGCTGTGGTGGGGACCTGGATAAAAGACATGAATAAGTGATTACAGCTTTGTGTGCACACCTCCCTACCCCAAGGTGGCACCTGGGAAGGCTCAAAGAGGAGGAGACACTTGCCTGAGTCTTGGAGAATAAATAGAAGTTTTCCAGTAGCATGGGGGGAGGAAGAGCGTGTTCTTTAGAACAAAGGAAACAAACAGCAGGTGAAGGGAAGGTGCTGTGAAGGGTGCCCCATATTCGGGGAAATAGGGTGATTCAGTTCACCAGGCTCTAAGGGAAAGAGGGTCCAATCAAAAGGGGCCTATGAATCCTGCAAAAGACCCCAGCCTGTATTCTGAGGGTAATGGGGACTCCTGAGAAGTTTTATGCAGGAACGTATCATGGTCAGATTTTTATTTGAGAAATAAACTAGAAGGGGCTGAACTATTGGGAGCAAGAGACGGGGACCGTGTTCGGGCAGTGAGAGCAAGAACAGACAGAAGGACCCCGCTGGGCTTCAGCGACTGGTGGGAAGTGGGAAATAAGGAAGAAGGAGGCGTCAAGGCTGGCTCCTGGTCTGCTCTGATTGCCAGTGGACAAGGGGGAGGAAGCACTGGCGGTGTGGGGTCTATGCGGGGAGACATCTGATGGAAGACAACGAGTTTCGTTTCAGGTGTGTTGAGTTTGAGTTGCCAGGTCAGGCTGCTCAGAGGAATCTGGAGCTCAGGACAGATCTGGACTGGAGACCCAACCTGGGCATCCCCAGCACAAATGTGGATGGGGATGAAACAGGAGGGGATGGGACTGACCGAGGAGGACGGGGGTGAGGCCTCTGGAGGGTCTGAGTGCAAAGCAAGGCCCTGAGGAGAGCCCAGCAAGAGAGGATCCTGGATGGAAATAAGAGAGGGGAGCCGAGGGAAAGCAGAGTCTGGAAGTGCGGGGACACCACAGACCACAGAAAGCCTGTGGATGTGGCTGCTGGTGGGAAATGAGAGCTGAACTTCTCCTGCCTTAATGGAGGAAGGAGCTGTTCGAATAGTTCACCACCACTGTTCTCGCCATGGGGAGTCCCACCTTCCTTCCCTCTGCTGGCCCAAATCCCCAGCCGTCTTTAAAGACTCGCATGGGTCATGGAGGACAGAGGTGAAACTGCTCTTTTCTCTCCAACAAGGCCCAAGCTTAGTGACACCTGGCTCGTTACCCAATAGTGTGTCTGTCCCTCCCCACCTCAGGGCCTGGCGCAGAGCAGCATCTTAGTCTCTGCCCAAGCAGGCAGGGCGAAGGGCTGGGACCAGGGCGTAGCACACTGAGGAGTGAGAAGGACGCAGCAGAACCTGGGGCCCAGCAGTTCTTTTAAGAAAGCTGCCATTGAAAAGAAGAAGAGAGAGAGAATGCTTGCTGAAAGGGGCTGCCGGATTAGGGGAGCGGGGTTTGCTTTGGTTGTGAAGATGGGAAAAGCCTGTGTAGAGACCAAGAGAAAAGGGCCTGCGAGAACCTGTCTTCCCCTGATGGACCTTCTTTTCCTTTTCTCCTAGGTCACGCCCAGAGCAGAAGCATGAATGATATTTCTCTCACCCCAAATACAGACCAGGTAGTAAAGCCCCTGCCCTTGGCTGCAGTGGAGGGCCAGGGCAGGAAGAAGTCTTTGGCTTCAGGGGTAGGGAGCCCCTACAGGCAAAACTCTACTCCCGTGAAAAAGTGGGAGTCCCCAGGAAGGATGCGGGTGGGGCTCTGGGTTGCCTTGGTGACTCAGCCCAGTCCCACACTTGGGTGCTGGCTCTGTGCCAGGCCTTGGAAGGAGTAGGGGACAGAGAAGTGTGATCAGATGAGATGCCAGCTCTCCCTGACCTTGGGGTTTATTGGAGAGAGAAGACCGCCACACAGAATTTCACCTCCTCCATGACACGCAAACACTTTTAAGGATGAAGTGGGGGCTTGGGCTGGTAGAGAAGAGCAGTGGGGCCTCCCTGTGGGGACAATAATGATAGTGAATCACCTGGACTGCCCAATAGTGTATCTTCTCCTTGGCTAGTGCCGGATAAAGTCAGTTCTTGTCTCCCACCAGCTTGGCTGAAACCTCCTTGATGAGATCAGAATCCCGCAAACAAGTTGAGTCCAAGTTCTAAGCCCACAGCCCAGGACCCCCATGACTGTGCCCCCGAGGGAAGCCCAGAGGAGGCTTCCCTCAATTCCAAACATTCACATCTCAGGGGCAGAAGGTCCCAAGGTCTCCTTGCCTGTGCCCCCAGGAGTAGGAAGGAAGGTGATGAGGGAAACCTGAACTTTGGCACCTACTCCTCAGGAGCTTGGGTGACCTCCAGGCCTCCAAGGCAGTCCCAAGTTTGGTGGAAGGCAAAACAAGAGTATTCCCTCATGTCAGTGTCTCCAGGGCCCTTTGGTGGCCAAAATAATAAAATAACAATAATAACGGCATCAACCAACATTTGAGGTCCACACATTGCATGCGCTACATTGTGTGGTGCGTTTTCTGTGCATCATGAAGGTACTATATCGTCTTCACTCTACAGATGAGAACATAAAAGCAGGTAAATAACGTGCCTAAGTTCATGCAGCTGAAAGGTGGCATGCCCATGATTTGATCCAGGCAGTGTGACTCTAGAGCCCTTAATTTGGGAGTGACTTAGGAACGAGTATTCTGGAATCTTATTTAGAGAAGAACCCCACTTTACTATAGTCATGCGCACAGACAGTGGAGCCGTTATAAGGAAGCACTGCCTAGTAAAAGTTTTTCACAACCTATTTTTCATTACCTATGTGGTAAGAAGAGTACCATCTGCTACTTTCCCCCGGCAATGCTGCCTTTGATTTAGGGGTTGGAACCCAACACCGGGCACTAGCGTCCCCTGGGTTCAGGCAGTGGGGTCAGCAGGACCCTGGTTAGACAAGCCCATGGCCAGACCATCACCAAACCAGGGTGGCCAGAACACCAGCATGGCCCATTTCTGGGATGCCACAACTCTGGCCTCCTTACTGGGGTGACAGACTACAAGGGAGGACCAAGGCCCTGTTTTAACTCCTCTCTGCTCATGGTTATGAGCGTGTTGCATGGGCCACTCCAGAGCGTTGCTGTTTTCAAAACCTTGTTCTCCAGGGCACTCCTGCCACCCACCTGCTCCCTGCCTGATGCCCAGGGACATGGAGTTGGCAGGGAGACAGTGGCTGCCCTGGCACACCCAGAACTCCATCCTGAAGAACCTGCTTATGGACCCGCTAACTGCTCCTGGGACAAAGGAACTTTCTGAGTTGTGGGGATTCTGGCCTTCCCATTAACTCGTGCTGTTGCTTATTCTCACTGCGTTAGGGTCCTTGGGGCTGTTGCCCAGGGGGTTGTGGAGAGTTTTATGTTTTTTAAGGGATTTAAAAGATTATAAGGGTGCAGCCCTTGCTCACAAGCCTTTTCTAGGGCTGGTAGGTCCCCAGCCCAGTATGTATCACGTCCCCCACGAGTCAAATCAGGAAATGGCTGTGGGCCCAAAGGGGCAAGACCTGTTGGCCATGCCCATGCCCATAACTGACCCCTCTCCAGGGACAGAAGGAAACTATCTTCACTGAGCTTATGAGAAACAAACATTTCTGTGCCCACAAGAGAGACTCCCATCAAGGGGGAATAGGTGGCAAAATTGTGGCGTCCGCAGAATCTCTCTGTACCACTTGCCTCCACCTCCTGGGCCCTTTCTTCCTTTGTTGGCCACTGTGGACTCCCACCAGCCCGGTCCTCCCCAAACACTCCTTCCCCACCTCTCTCTGTGAAACCATCTCTGTCTCTTGCCTATCCCCTTGCTGCCCAGAGGGAAAGTGATCTGAAAAACTAATGTACCCTAAGATGTACCCTAAGATGTTAAAGACCAAGAAGAGTGTGTATGTGGCCACCCCTGGGCACTTTCATCATAAGAGAGGGCTCCGGAGGAGTTGGCATCTTGTCCATAGGATGAAAGTCATGACCACAGAGAGTGGGGCTGACTTGGGGCAGAGGGCTTGTCTCCAGCACCTCTCACATTGGACCCCACTCACTCTTCCTGCCCTGACTAGACACCAGCCAGAGGGACTGGATAGAGGGTACTTCGATAGTCTCAGTTGGAAAGGCTCAGAAGCTATGAGTTTCCTGGGAGGTCCTCTAGGGGTGACTTGGGGGCACAGAAGCCTCTCACAGGCTTGGACCCACAGGTCCAGGGGTTTCCCGTCAGCCAGGAAGCTGGTGGTAAAGAAAAACAAAGTGTGTCCACTCTGGCCATCAGGATGGTCTCATTCCTCCCACGGCCATCCAGGGTAAAGGCAGAGAGGGAGGGCTGGGTAGCTGGAGTGTAAGGGCCGAGACTCCCATTTGCTTGAGCTGCTGCTGGGGGAAGAGACCTGATGTCCAGCAAGCCCTGACTTTCTACTCTGACCCCTCAACTCACACTTCAGTAGAACAAGGTTTTCGCCCATCAAGGAACATCTTAGGGGGTCAAGTCGTTGCCTGTTCCTTCCCATCTACGAAAGGCTTAACTGGTCCCTGGGGTTAACCAACTTTGAGTCTTCTCATCCGCAGATTGTGTGAGAGTGTCGGCTTATTTCCTTCAGTCTCTTGAGAAACGCTGGGAGAATTTTGTAAGGTTAGGGCTCCACAGTAGTCTGAACGGGCTGAGTGAGAGCCGAAACCACTGCACGTGAGTATCCATGGGTATCTCGTGTCCCCCTCACTGACCAGCGGAAAAACAAATTCATGAAGAAGATCCCCAAGGATTCAGAAGCCTCCAATGTGCTCGTGGGCGAGGTGGACTTCCTGGACCAGCCATTCATTGCCTTCGTGCGTCTCATCCAGTCAGCCATGCTGGGAGGAGTGACCGAGGTGCCTGTCCCCACCAGGTGAGAGCCATTGAAATCTGCCCACCATACCCACCCTCGGGTGGCCAGCTGTCCATGCAGTCAGCTAGTAGTGCAGTTGGAGACACCCCTAAATCGAAGAAGGAAAAGTAGGGAACTGTATGGGGATGGCAATCTGACTCAGGAAGAATTTGAGAGAATTTATTTAAAATAATCATAAACAAGAAGTAGCCAGCAGCTGGAAGAGGCGCTGCTGGGTGAGCTCTGGGATGCCAGGGCGTGGCAAAGATGCTCAGGTGGGAGTGAAGAGGAATGTCTCTCCAAAGCAAATATGGGATTCAGAGGAGGGAAGGGACATGTTTCTGCCCAGTTAAAAAATTAAGAATGGACACTATTTAGGGCCAGAAAATCCTTCTCTCCACCTGCTTTTACTTTTCCTTCTCACTTTCCCCCTCCTCCTCCATCTTCTTTGCAGATTTCTGTTCATACTGCTGGGACCTTCTGGGAGAGCAAAATCCTACAATGAAATTGGCCGTGCCATTGCAACCCTCATGGTAGACGACGTAAGTGCCACGAGAAGCATGTACTCCTGAATGTCATGGCTCCTGCGTCAAACACTGTGCCTTCATTCATTCACTTATCCAACAAGTCACGTTTGAGCACCTACTGTATGCCAGACCCTGTGCAGGGTGTGAGGATTACGAGAATGAGGGAATAGTCACTGCCCTTTAGGAGCACCAATCAAGTGGGAGAGATAGACCTACAATCCTAGAGTGAACCATGTGCTAACTGCCCAGGCAGTCAATGGGCCCTTCACACACGAGGGGGCTTTAAAGCTAAGGATGAGCACCAGCCTAGGAGGCAGGCATTCCAGGCAAAGGGCCACGGTTCAGAGAGGGAGGGGCTGGATGGAAGTGGTTTGATATAGGCTCAGTGCAAGAGCTTCAAGAGCAGGAGGTAACACCAGAGAGAGGAGCCATATACTATACGGAGCCCGTAGGCAGAGCTGAGAGTTGACACTATGTGACAGGGAGCCTAGAGGAGTTTAAACACGAGCACAACCCAATCAGATCTGTAAAGTCAGAAGGAACCCTCTGGAGACAGTGTGGAGTGATGCAGCCTGAGCCTCCAAAGATGAAGGGCTGGGATGTTAAAACAGATTTGAAATACCTGAGCTTCTCCGACTGGGCTCTGCACAGGTTTTCTGAAGAGCTCGCTCTGTGGGAAACTGAGAGCAGAAAGGTTAAGTAAGTAACTCAACCCAGGTCGGACAACTGGAATACAGAGACCTGGCCTTCAGGTCCGGGAAGAGCCGCCTTGCTGCATGTCCCACTGTCCCCACTGTGCTATGTTCCAACTGCCCCGTTGTTCTCATCTCAGAAACTGAGAACAAATTGGCAGCTGGAGTAATGGCTCAAAGTGACTTTCTTTGAAAGTGTATGTGGTTGTGCCCCCCGGGAGGTGGATGAGATGATGACCGCAGCAAGAGAGCGGTCCTTTCTCTTCCTCTGCCTCTTTCCCTGCCAGCTCTTCAGCGACGTGGCCTACAAGGCCAGGAATCGGGAGGATCTGATCGCGGGGATTGATGAGTTTCTAGACGAGGTCATCGTGCTCCCCCCTGGAGAGTGGGACCCAAATATCCGAATTGAGCCACCCAAGAAGGTGACTTCTGCTGACAAGAGGTGTGCATGAATGAAGGGGTGGCAAGCGGGGAACCGGGTCAGAGGGAGCTTTCAGTCTGTCCGTTCCTTTTTTTGGATTTGAAAGAAAGATGTCAGCCTACATGGGTTTATACTTTTTTTTTTTCAGTCTCACTTTATTTCTCTGAAAAAAAAAAATCAGAAGCAAATATGCTGAATGTGACCATCTGTAAAACCTGGGTGATCTGTGTGTGGGTGTTGCTAGATCATTCTCTGCATTCTTCTCTGTATTTTAAGCTATTTGATGATGTTAGAAAGGTAAAGGAGTTATGAGGACAGCCCCGGAGGTGCTGATCTCTTCCTAGGATTGGGAGCCCCACTGTCCCCTGTCGCCCTTCTCCTTCCAGGAAATCCGTGTTCTCCCTGACTGAGCTAGGTCAGATGAACGGCTCTGTGACGGGAAGCGGCGGAGGGGCTGGAGGCGGCGGCGCTGCAGGCGGAGGCGGCAGTGGGGCCGGCGGAGGGAGCAGTGGGGATGATGGAGAGATGCCAACCGTGCACGAGATCGGGGAAGAGCTCATCTGGACAGGAAGGTGCCCACTCCAGGCCTGACAGCGACACCAGTTGTCTTAGATTTCTCTTCTCTTCACCCACCATTTAGGAACCTTCTCCACCTCTGTCAGCAGCACCCACTCCTGGCCTTGGGATCTGGCCAATGCACGCTTTTCCTCCCCAGCCCTCAAAGCCCCTCCTGGATCTGGCAGGAAAGGGGAAGCTAGTGGAGGAACCCAAACTTTTCTCAGGACACCCTTTGTTACCTGTATTAGTTTCCTAGGGCTGCGGAAACAAAGTATCACAGTCTGGGTGGTTTAAACAATAGAAATTTATTCTCTCACAGTTCTAGAGTCTAGAATGTCCAAATCAAGGTGTCAGCAGGGCCATCCTCCCTCTGAGGTTCTGGGTGGAATCCTTCCTCGCCTCTCTGTAGCTTCTGGTGGTAGCCAGCAGTCCTTGGTGTTCCTTGGCTTGCAGCTGCACCATTCCCATCTCTGTCTGTGTCCTCAGATGGTGTTCTTCCTGTGTTTCTGTCTTCGTATAGCATTTTCCTCTTCTTATGAAGACACCAGTCATATTGGATTAGGGCCCACCCTAATGAATTCATCTTAACTTGATTACATGTACAAAATAAGGTCACAGTTACAGGTTAGAATTTTGATATATCTTTTGGGGGGACATAATTCAATCCATAAGAATACCTTTTGAATTTTTTTAACCTTTTGTTACCTAGTCAAAAAACTTGTTTTAAAAGAAAACAATAGAGAATTTTCCTGGCCTTCGTTTCTTTGCCAGCTCTTAGAATAACTTGGGTAGATCTGAATTTAGGAAAGGACACAGCCCTGCAAAGCTATGTGTAAATCATAACTTTGAGAACGAGTCATGTTTTTTTACGCCCTTGGCTCTCTGCCCGCCAGTGGTTCCCAACTTTACCTACTCCCCACTCCCATCCTCACCCAGGGGACATTTGGCAATGTTCAGAGACATTTTTGTTTGTCCCAGCTGGAGGGGAGATGCTACTGGTATCTGGCAGATAGAGACCAGGGATGCTGCTCAACATCCTCCCGTGCACAGGACTGCCCTCCCCCAAACAAAGAATTATCCAGTCCAAAATGTCAACAGTACCAAGGTTGAGAAAACCTGCTCTGTGCTAAGCACTGTGTTAGGAGCTATGGAGACTAGCATCCCCAGTAAACATTCTCCCTAAACCTAAAATTCCCCACTTGTTTGTTCCACAAAGCAAGGAAACCAGTTATAAGGTTCAGAATCTGCCCTTGATGAACCTGTTATAAACCAGGATCTCTCCATCTCCTAAAGCTGGACACACCTATGTTTACCAAGCACAGGCACCCTGTGGATGATCAGGGACGTGAGGAGGATAGCCATCTATGGTCCCCAGGATTTCCATTCCCTGTGAAATGTTAGGTCTACCCCAATACATATTCCCATAAGGCCTTCCCTCTCCCACCCAGGCTGTCTGTGACCACCCTTCCCAGTGGAGATGGTGCCAACCACAAACTCAGTCTAATGACAGAATTCTTCCCTGGTCTTAAATGTTCTGGTGGAAAGATCCCTTTCCCCATCCACCCCTAGTCAAGTTCCCCTCCTCACTGCAGACTCCGCAGGCTCCTGTAAATAGCCCTGCCCCTGCACTGGTGTCTGTGGTGAGAAAGCAGTATCTGGGCCTGTCTTGAGCAGGTTCTTCGGTGGCCTGTGTCTGGATGTCAAGAGGAAGCTGCCCTGGTTCCCAAGTGACTTCTACGATGGCTTCCACATTCAGTCCATCTCTGCCATCCTATTCATCTACCTTGGCTGCATTACCAACGCAATCACCTTTGGTGGGCTTCTGGGGGATGCCACCGACAATTATCAGGTGTGTGTGAGCTGGGGACATGCATGCAAACCTCAGAAAACTCTGCTGCCACCAGGTAGTGGTAAGGAGCTTATTCCCATAATCCCAAAACCAAGGTTTGGGTTTGACCTACCATCCAGGTTCAGACCATCACTTTTTGTAATCCTTTACCCTTGAGAAAAATAATAACAAGCTGGCATAATTAAAAGGTCTAAAGCCAAATCATATTACTAAAGACCAAATTTAAAGATTATATAAATAGAGCAAATGTTTAAGGGGAAATCATCTACTTTGTTAGTTGGTACTTTTCCTACTGATGCTTTAACGAATTCAATGAGCACAATTAATTGAGTTGCTAATTGTGACCTTCTTCCCATACTTTTTAAAAAAACTAACCTTAAATTCTTAGCTTGAAGTTAAGACATTTTTAGAAATGTCTACCATGACAACAACGCAGGTATACCTGGGGAAAACAGTTCAGCAGAGACACTAGCCTGAGACCCAGACAAGGGTCTTCTCCATTGGGGGCCTTTGGGATAGTATCACTGGAAAGCTCAGAGCACCGGGGTGAAGACCCACTTTCCCAGATAAATTAAGATGAGTGTGCCTATCTCCAGCCCACACCACTCTTCTGAGCAGCAGGTTCAGTATCCGGCTGCCTCCTGGGCATGTCCACATAGCTGCCCTTTGGGATCCCCCGACTCACAGGGCCAACATTGCATCCATTACCTTCCCTCCAGACCTGCTGCTCCCCCCAGCCAATGAGCGACACCATGGTTGACCCAGATATTCACACATCATCCTTGACTCATAAATCCCAGCTTCCCCCAGTAGCCCTCATGACATGGTCCTACTTGCCTCTCAAGCCTCATCTCCCAGTATTCCCTTTCTCAGATTCCTGTCCTCCTCACTCATCTGCATGCTGTTTTCCATCAATCCTGATCATCTCTCAGGTCTTCAAAGACATGCTCCCTTTCAGCTCCAGCCTTTGTGCCTACTGTTGCCCTTCCCGGCACACTCTTTCTCATCCACTTACCCTATTCTCCTGGTCAATTCTCTGCTCATTTTTTGGTTCTCAGCTTCCGTGTATCTACCTCTTGGGAGGCTTTCCTGACCAACCCTTCACTCTTACTGTATGCTCCTACCTTATCCCAGCTTATCATATTTCTTGGCAGTGGTTCTTAACAAGAGACGATTTTGACCCCTAGGAGACATTGGGTAGCATCTAGAGACAGTTTGGGTTTTTATAACTGGGAGGTGAGGTGCTACTGAGATGCTAATAAACATCCTACAATGCACAGGATAGCCCCCTACAACAAAGGATTATCTAGCCTGAAATGTCAGTAGTGCTGAGGTTAAGAAACTCTGCTGTATGGAAATCGCCTAGTTTCTTGTGTGTATCTCCCACTAGAATGACGATGCATTATGTTGTTTGTTCATGGGTCCTCAATGTCTAGCACAATGCCTGATACATAGTAGGCCCTTAATAGATTTTTGAATGCATGAATGAATGAATGGTCTGACCTCTAAAAGCACCTACTAGATCTTTGAATTAATAAATGATTGGGTGGATGAATGGACTGTCCTCTGGGAGTAGAATGGGCACAGGAACAAGCACGACCATTGGCAGCCCTGTTTTCTAGGCCCTAGGGTGACAAAAGGAAGTCACATGGGACCTAGAATTAGAGAGTGATGCTTGGCAATTATGTGAGGTTGTGGAGTCAGAGATGGGGAGCAGAATTTGAGCAGGAGAGGACCTAGGATAAAGGACGAGCATTGTGGCCCTTGCTGAGATAACTGGGTTCTAACCTGTCAGAGAGGCCCCTTTCGCACACCCCTACTGAGCCTGACACTCCTCATGCCCCCAGGGAGTGATGGAGAGTTTCCTGGGCACTGCCATGGCTGGCTCCTTGTTCTGCCTCTTCTCGGGACAGCCTCTCATCATCCTCAGTAGCACAGGGCCCATCCTCATCTTCGAGAAGCTCCTCTTCGACTTCAGCAAGTAGGTGCCCTTGGTGGCCCCCAGTGCCTGCTCTCACACTTGGGACAGTATGCCAAGGTTGGAGTAGGGGAAGAGCCCCGAGGGGAAGGTGGGGTGAGAAGGTACCAAAGCCGTCTTTACCCGTAGGAGGCACTGCCAGGTGGTCCCTCCTGATTCCCTCCGATATCTGCCTTTAAGCCACCTTAGTGCATATTTGCGCAGCCCATGGGGAGAAATCCAGGCAAGACAAGAGGAGAGAATTCACACTGCTCTGCTCATGAGCAATTATGACTTGAAAGTCAATGCGGTGTATAAAAAGGTTTCAAGCTGGAGGTCAGAAGGCTATGCCCTGACTCACGCAGCTCTGGGCTCAGTTGCCTCACCCACAACATGAGCCCATTTCTAAGGTCTGCTCCAGCTGTGTCATTCTGAAATTCCCTGTTCCTCATTCACTCTGGTGTTTGTTACCAAATGTGTAAGAACCGAAGTGTGTGAGCACCTTTCTGCCACCCCATGGGAGCCTTTCCCAGAATTCTCAAAGACCAGACAACCCCACCCGGGAACTGTCCCCATCCCCAATCCTCTTGTACTTCCTAGGAGGGCATCTGTGCCACAGGAGGGACAGATGAGGCACCCAGGGTGGGTCTGGGGAGCCGAGCACAGCCAAGAGCCTTGGGCTGGAGGCCCTTCGATTCCCTCTGCTCTCCAGAGGCAATGGCCTGGACTACATGGAGTTCCGCCTCTGGATTGGCCTACACTCAGCTGTCCAGTGCCTTATCCTGGTGGCCACAGATGCCAGCTTTATCATCAAGTATATCACCCGCTTCACTGAGGAGGGCTTCTCCACCCTCATCAGTTTCATCTTCATCTACGATGCCATTAAGAAGATGATCGGTGCCTTCAAGTACTACCCCATCAACATGAACTTCAAGCCTGACTCTATCACCATCTACAAATGCGAGTGCGTCGCCCCCGACACAGGTGACCGGTAAACCCAGAGGTGCCCTAGGCCCCCACCCACTACCCACTCCCCTCTAACACCCACTCCCCCTCTGCCTCTCCCCTCCACCCCGTTGTCTACTCAAAGGAAGGAGCATGAGCCTGCTTGGGAGGGGCTGTTCAGCCAAGGACTTTCTGTCCCAAAGGAGCAAATACAGGGTCTTAAACCAGTTTTTGGAAGGAAATCAAGGGGACAGGAACTCTAATGAGGATCGGAACTCTAATGAGGATCACAATACCAGAGCCCAGGGTCGTAGTCAGGAGGAAGCAGTGATAGCGATACCCCAGGAAGGGAAGAAGGCATGCTTGGTCTCAGTGTGGAGTAATGTGGAGGCCACACCAGTCAGAAATGCTACTCAGGCCAGAGGCCTGCTCTAGGCCAGAGGTAGACCTGATGGAGCCTAAAGTCCCTCCCAGCTCCATGAACACATGACACCATGAGTTCTCCCTGACACATCACTGCCAGTGTGTTCACACCAGAGGGATGAACATCCCTACAGATGGGGACATGTCCAGGGTGGAGGACTAGTCAGGGTGGAGGAGGACCTGGCAACTATGTCATTAAAGAATGGTTAGAGAACCTGGGGTTATCCAGGCTTTTAGAGAGGTATGAGAGAAAGTCTGTCATGACGCAGAGGGGCCAGATTCACCCTGTGTAACTCTAAGATGCAGAATGAGGGCTGAGGAACAAAATCTCCAGGAGCCAAACGCTGGCTGAATTCAAGGTATATCTTAACAGTGGTGGAAGCCACCACCCTGAGAGGTATTCGTCCCCTCGGGTGGTAGCAAGCTTCTTGGACACTACCTGGATATCCATCTGCCAGAGGTATCGTAAAAAGGATCCCTGTGCTGGGTGGGAGGCTGAATCAACCAAATGGTCAACCCATTCCTGTGAAGTCCCTTTCTGACCAAAAAAGTGTCATCTGTAAAGTTAGGACTTTCCATAGCTGAACCACTGGCCTCTTTCGCAGTCAGAATCATGCCCCTAAGAGCTTTCAGTGGGACGTGCTCAGAGTGCCCAGGATGCTATAGAGCGGAGGCTAGAGAGCCATCCACATACCTCTTAGCACCACCAGGCTGGACTCACAGAGAAAACTGAGGTCCAGAGACACCCAAGGTCACACCAAATGTCAGTTCCCCTAGAGGATATCAATGCTGGCCCTTCCAGTCTCATGGAACGCTTGTGAGGTTTTCATATCTATACTCAGATTCAGTTGGCATTTCACATAAGTAGTTACCATGTTGTTCAGCACCTTAATGCATACAACCGATAAAAAATATTGATAAGTCAACCAGAAATATTTGTTGCACAATTATTGTGCACTCCACTTTAGACTAGGCCTTGTAAAGATAAAGTTGTTCTGACATCAGGGAACACAGTTTTGGTTGTACCCTCTCACCCCCTGTCACTGCTCTGAATTTGTAAAGATATCGAGACAATTTTTTTCTCTTCTTTTTTTTTCTATAATTCATTTTGAGTTATTTCATTAAAACCCAGCAGTAGGTGAAGCTGTCTGTTGTCCTGAGCCAGGGCATGTTGCTTGCCCAGGGGACTGAGGAGATCCTACCTGCAGGCTCGTGTCATCACACGGTAGAGCAAATCCCATCTCTGTGGACTAAGCCCCATCAGGGCACTTTTGTTTTCTGCTCACACCCTCTGGACTACAGATCCATTGCACTGAACACAAGTGTTCCCACAAACATGGCTTTTGGAAGTACACATCCTTAATTTCTTTCAGAAATGGTCCAAATTCTAGGGTCGTATGTGGAACTTCGGCCATTCTGGGAATCATCTGTCCACAGGAGAAACCAAACATAGGGGTGCCCTAGGAACAGGGCACATCAGGTAGGATTTGAGAACTATAATAGGATCCACCTACCTCCAAATAGTGTCCCCTCTGGCCTTGCCCAGGTGCCTAATGTCACCTCATTCTTTTGGGTCATGCTATTGCCATGATTCTCAAAGTTGGTCCCTGGAAGCAGCATCAGAACTGTCTGGGAACTTGTTAGAAATGCAAATTCTCAGGCCCCACCCCAGACCTGCTGAATCAGAAACTCTGGGATAGAGACAGCTGTATATTAACAAGCCTTCTGGGTGAGTCTCACGTATGCTTAAGTTTGAGAACTACTGCTCTCTTAAACTGAGTCATTATTAGCAACTAGCCGTAGTGAGATTAGGTTTTCAGTTTCTTCATGGAGAGTAAAGGAACTGGAAACAGGACAAGTTAGTTTTGATTAGGAGAATATGAAAGGGAAAATTCTAGATGTTTAGGACCCTGGGGAGGGGGGAGCTAACTAGGGGGGTTTCTTTCCCAGTCCATGGGCCACTCGTTTACCCACTGTTCCATAATCCTAGTGCTACTGCAAAACCCAGTTTGACTGTGGCACACTGTCACTCTTTGTCACTCTTTATCAGTCAGAGCTTGTTTCGGGGCACGCTTTTTAATCTAATCTTGTTTCCATTGTAACTGATTTGTATTCTATTTATGGATGCTGCACACACTGACTTGGCTGCTTTCAATCCCAAGTGAGTACCACTTTGTAAACACTAGAATTTAAAAATATTTGATACTTGGACCCTTTCTAGGATTTTCCATGTTATGGTTCTTCCTTCTTCATCTCAAAGTGGCTTTCAGATAAACCTCACAAAGTTCTCGATATAAAAGAATGGCAAAGCCTAAGCAGAAGACATCAAAAGAATGTCTGATCTGACAACCTTGGGCAATGGAAGCGCATCTACACTCACCAGGCTCGAGTGTTACCTGGGGGTCCTGTAGCATCTGTGAGGGGACCCCTGAGTCAGCCTCCCTGCTCGCCTTCCCTGCTCCATTGTTAACTGTGCGTCGTGTTCTTTTGGTCAGTAGTGTGAGGAAAGGCAGTAGCTGTCCCTGATTTCTCTTAAGTGAAGCGCTCTTCAGAATAGTTGTAACAAAACTCTGGGTTTGTAGAACTTCTCAGAATATTCTGCCCTAGGTCAAGACTGAATTCCTTAGCCGCTCCCAGCCCCAACTGCCCCAGAAGTAGGCAACATAGAAGGGCCCTGTGATCACATCCACCCCATGACAGTTTATTAGAGGTTGAAGGAAGCTTCAGGAATAACCTCTTATTCCCTCTGGGTTCCTAGCAGGAGTTAAATGGGGTTTGCGATGCATTTAGACTATTGCTAGCAAACTGGCTGAGCCTCCTCCCTCCCTCCTTAAATCAGCTGCAGAGGAACTGCTTCGTCAGTCTTCACTTGGAGGATGAAGGCGAGGAGAACCTGGCCCTTCTCCTCTATGCATGCAGTGCAGGAGCAAGAGAGAGGGTGACCTCCAAAGCTGCCTTTTTAATAAATGGCTGCATCCCTCAAGCAGGGGATCACAGTTCCTCTCAACTCGTCTCGTGGCCCCTGAGGGGAACCCTCCTCTGTTCCACTTAGGGACACTGAGGCTGGGGCAGGGGATTGTGGACCAGGGATGTAGAGTGAACAGCTGAGAGCAGTACCTCTGAGGTCCTGATTCTCCTTCAAGTCCTGGGCCCAGCTTTAATTTTCCTCAGCTAGCATTTAATGGGCAGATTAGGGAAGATACCCAACAAGTTCTTACAGGCCCAGCTGACCTGAAGAAAAAAAAACAAAAACATATGGACAGGGCAGGAGAGAAAGGAAGTGTACGTGGAGGGGAGCAGGGCAGGGAAGGAAGCTCGTCGTATAGAGCTGGGAGGTGTGTAGGCTCTGGGCCAGCCTGCCTGGGATGGATAACGGCTCCCCCAAGAGTGAGTTCCGTGACCTTGGGCAATGGGCAGGTTACTTAGTCTCTCTGGGCCTCAGTTACCTCATCTTTAAATTGTGGAAATTTCTTGGGGATTTAGGAACTTAGCAAGATGACGTATGTAAGGGATTGGCACAGTGCGTGGCAAAGAGTTAAGTTCTTTGAAAATGTTAATTAAGTCTAAGAGCACAGACATTTGTCAAGTGGGTGGTAGGGATTCACAAGGCACATTATTTACCCACTTGTGTTAGCATCTTGTCTTGGCAGCAGTTTTTAAAGCCAGCCCTTCCATGTCAGACAGGAGCTGTCCTAACCCGGCCCAGCTAGACTGTCGGCGCTGTGGCCCAGTCTCCCTCCCACCACCCCTGCCCTCCCTGAGCCAAGTGAGGAGAGGGAAGGGTGCAGCTGCCCTCACAATGAAAGCCAGTCCTTGTCTCTAAGGAACTGGAAGGAAATGGGAAAGAGTGGGGCCCGGGGTGGGGTGCAGGATCCCCACCCAGCAGTTGCTGACCCTCCCCCATGTCCTGTGCTCACCCACAGCGAATACAACCGCATTCAATGCTTCAGCCACGTCGCCACCAAACACCAACACTTCTCTGGTAAGTCCTTTCTTCATGTCAGACATGCAAGGGCTTATGTTTGTGGGGAGATTGAGAAGATTTGGGAAACTTAGACCAGACTTGCAGAGATTAACCCTGCTGCATACCCACACCAGGGTCACCCGCAGAGCTGTGAAAATGAATATTTTTAAGTATATACTGTCAAAATCCTATTTTGTCTCATTTTTTTAAATCCTTGTGCACAAACCTCCCCCTCCTCCCTCCCTCCCTCACACACACACACACACACACACACACACACACACACACACACACGACGGGGGGGGGGCGGGGGGGGGGGGGGTGGGGTGGGGTTGAGGTGAGGAATGGTAAGTAGGGCTGTGCAAGGCTGTAAACTTTCCCGCCCATCTTTCTGCCTTCTTCCCTGCCTTTGTACTGAGGACTCCCAGTTCCTAACCAACAATGCTACCCTCCAGCCCCAGAAAGCTTATTATTGCTCCCCCCTCTCTGAATCTCATCTGTCCTTTGCACTCATGTGTCTCCGAGGGCCCCTGGTCTGGTCTGCCTTTCCCAATAATGATGAGCAGTGGCCGTCAGGAGAAGACACCTAGCCTAAGTGGCACTAACGGTGGGAAGTAGAAAACCAGGTGAAGGGTAGCACCTGGTAGGTACTGGGAGGAGACTTTTGGACTTTTAGTGTCCCTAAGCTTGCCTCTTAACTTACCCCTGCACAGGCAGCTGACTGCTCAATGGCAATTTAACCTAAGATTTTCTCAAATATCTGATTTTGAGGGAGGAAAAATGGAATCAGTCAGTGCCTATGTATGAATACTTACTATGTGTAAGGCGCTGTGTGCGGGTGATGTGATGGTTCGAAAAACATCTAAGAAACAAATGTGGTCCTTGCCCTCCAACCTGCTTGTAATGTGCACGTGGAGATTAACCTGAAAAAGTAACGGGCAGCACAAGTAGAGCGTGCCATGCATCAAATATAGGTCGAATGCATCCTTCCAGCAGTGGAGGCAGGACGCACTCTGCAAACTAGAGAAGAAAGCCTCATAGAGAAAGTAGAACGCGATCTGGTCTTGAAGGTTGGGAAAGTTTGTTCCATAGAGAATAGCACATTCCAAGCCTAGGGACCAGCATAGACAGAAGGGCACAAGAGGAAAAGCACAAAATCTGTCCTGAGGACAGTGGGTGGACCAGTCCTGCTGAGACAGAGTGAGGGTGGGGCATCACACAGGGAAATCAGGAGAAATAAGTCAAGACAGAGATGTTGGGCCAGATCAGTGGGACAGTAGAGGCACGGCTACATTGCAGGGGGCATTCGCATTGTCTTGGTCTGTTGATCCCCATTCTATTGGTCTATTGATCTAAGCAGGCCCAGGGCCAGCTAAGATTCAAAGGGGAATCACCTTTTGATGGGAGGACGGTTGATGTCACATCACAGAGGAGTGTGGACACAGGGAGCCATGATCCATTGGGGACTGTTATTATATCAAACTACCACACTTCTCTTAATACAAACATACATTATGGCTAGTTGCAAACATCTGTTTACTTCATTATGTAAGTTCCTGAATATTTGCACATTTATTTTTCAAAATATAAATTAAATTTTATTATACATTACTCTCCTTCTATTACACTTAGAAACATATATATTAATATACATGTGTGAATATAGATATATAAATATATGTACCTATACATACTTAGGAACATAAATAAGAATATATATAGGAATGTGTATTTTATATATATATATATATATATATATATATATATATATATAAATTGTTTTGTATGCCCTGGATTTTAGGCATCTGGGACACCAAAGGTCAAGTGACTGAAGTGATTAACCCAAGAGAGGTCTGACAAGGGTCGGGTGTGAGCCCCTTTCCTTCTTCTACGCACACAAAAAGTGTGTGCATAGAAGAAGGAAAGGGGAGGATAAATGTGAGACACTCCAGGAAGGAGTTGTGGACAGGACCCATGGTTGATTGACTGAGATGGGAGCCAGTCCTGCACTTTTCCTCCTCACTCACAAAGCAGTACATCCTAGAACACAATGAAGAAGCACATGTCAGCTCCTAACCTTCCCAGGGAACCTCCTGCTTGTCATTCCTTGAAACAGCCTGTTCCCAGGACCATCACTCTGTTGCTGGGCACTATCATGGGGCAGGAGGGCTGGGGCCCCTTGGAGGGTGGGAGGGGTGCGTGGGCTGCCTGGAAACTGCAGTGGGGAGGAAACAGCTGACCTCCCAGGAAGGCCCTGACTGTTTCTCTCCTGTCTTGGTCTACAAGTACAACCCCCTTAACCTCACAGCGTTGGACTGGTCCCTGCTGAGCAAAAAGGAGTGTTTGAACTATGGTGGGCGCCTACTTGGGAATTCCTGCCAGTTCATCCCAGACTTGGCACTCATGTCCTTCATCCTTTTCTTCGGGACATACTCCATGACCCTGACCCTGAAGAAGTTCAAATTCAGCCGCTATTTCCCTACCAAGGTAACTTCACCCTACAGTCAGACAGTTCACATGGAAGCCACCACTGAGTCCCTGAGAGGGTTCTGGTCCAACTGTTGGAATGGACACCACATCAGCACTTGCTCACTGAGGTTTTTTCAAGTTAAGAACACAGACTTTGGATCAGAGAGAACTGGGTTCCCTTGTTGTCAAGCCCCATGACAACACTTGATATTGTCAGACTTTTATCTTTAGCCTAGTAGTATATTGTGGGTTTTTTCCTTTTATTTCCCCAATGACTAATGAAGTTGAAAATCTTATCATGTGTTTAATGGACATATGACCATTGACTTTCTTTTTTCTTTTTATACTGAGTTGTAATTTTAAAAGAAGTGACTTATAAAGAAGTCACTGTTATCTTTTTTAAAGATCTTTATTGGAGTATAATTGCTTTACAATGGTGTGTTAATTTCTGGTTTATAACAAAGTGAATCAGCTATACATATACATATGTCCCCATATCTCTTCCCTCTTGCGTCTCCCTCCCTCCCACCCTCCTATCCCACCCCTCTAGGTGGTCACAAAGCACCAAGCTGATCTCCCTGTGCTATGCAGCTGCTTCCCATTAGCTATCGATTTTACATTTGGTAGTGTATATATGTCCATGCCACTCTCTCACTTTGTTCCAGCTTACCCTTCCCCCTCCTCGTGTCCTCAAGTCCATTGTCTAGTAGGTCTGCATCTTTATTCCTGTCCTGCCCCTAGGTTTTTCATGACCATTTCTTTTTTTTTTATATATTCCATATATATGTGTTAGCATACAGTATTTGTTTTTCTCTTTCTGACTTACTTCGCTCTGTATGACAGACTCTAGATGACCATTGACTTTCTTCTTGTAAGAGCCTGTTTAAATCTCTTGCACATTTTCATCCGGGTTGTCTGTCTTTTTCTTTCCAATTTGCAACTCTTTATATATTCTGGATAGAAACATTTTTGTGATCATATGTGTTGCAAATATCTTCTGCTCTATGACTGACCTTTTTACTTTCTTAATGGTATCTTTTGATTAATAGAAATTCTTAGCTTCACTGTAATCAAATATATCCAATTTTTCCTCAAGGAAAATATTGGATAGAAGATATTCTCCTATGGTATCTTCTAAAAGCTTCATTGTTTTTCCTTTCATGTTAAATCTATAATCTACCAGTATTGCTTTTAACATATAGTGTGAGAAAGTGTTTGTTTTTTATTTAGATAGCCAATTGTTCTAGCACTTTAAAATTTTATTTTATTTTTACAAACTAAAGAGGAAATTTTATTTACTTAGGTAACATTTGTTTATAACATTATATAAGTTTCATGTGTACATTATGTTTATACTTCTTTTTTTTTTTTACATCTTTATTGGAGTATAATTGCTTTACAATGTTGTGTTAGTTTCTGCTGTACAACAAAGTGAATCAGCTATATGCATACATATATCCCCTCCCTCTTGAGCCTCCCACCCACCCTCCCTATCCTACCGTCTAGGTCCTCACAAAGCACTGAGCTGATCTCCCTGCCAGCACTATTTTTTTTAAAAAAGACCATCCTTTTCCCACTACTCTGCAGTGCTTCCCTTGCCATATATCAAATGTTCACATGTGATGGGATCTGTTTCAAGGTTCTTTACTCTGTTTCACTGATTTATTTGTATGCCAATATCACAGTCTTCATTTCTAAAACTGATAGTAAGTCTGTATATCTTACAGACCAAACTTTCCCTCTTTGTCCTTCTTTTTCAATAATGCCTTGGCCCTTTGTATTTCCACATAAATTTTAGAATCTTAAATTTCACCAAAATAAAAACTTATTGGAATTTTGATAGAATTATATTGACTCTAAATGTCAGTCTGGGGAGAATTTACACCTCTCAAATTCTGAGTCTTCTAATCCTTGAATATGGTATACCTTGCCATTTATTAAGGTCTTTTATTTATTTATTTTATTTATTTATCTTTGGCTGCGTTGCATCTTCGTTGCTGCACACGGCTTTCTCTAGTTGTGGCGAGCGGGAGATACTCTTCGTTGCGGTGCGAGGGCTTCTCATTGCGGTGGCTTCTCTTGTTGCAGAGCATTGGCTCTAGGTGTGCGGGCTTCAGTATTTGTGGTGCACGGGCTCAGTAGTTGTGGCTCATGGGCTCTAGAGCGCAGGCTCAGTAATTGTGGTGCACGGGCTTAGTTGCTCCACAGCCATGTGGGATCTTCCTGAACCAGGGCTCGAACCCGTGTCCCCTGCATTGGCAGGCGAGTTCTTAACCACTGTCCCACCAGGGAAGTCCCTATTAAGGTCTTTTTTTTTTCTCTGTCCATAATATTTTGTAGGTTTTGATCTTGAGGTCTTGCATATTTTTTGTTAGATTTATTCCTAGGTACTTGATTTTTTTTTTTTTTACCTATTGTAAATGCTAACTGCTATTTTAATTTCATTTTCTAACTGTTTTGTGGCTAGAATAAAGAATTTATTAATCAAAACAGCACTTGCATATGTGAGCAACAGTTATGAAATGAGGAGGGGCACTGGGAAGATTTTTAGCAATGCTCTTCTAACAGAAACCACATGCGCGCTCTTCTAAAGCCATCTTAAATAAATTTTCTACTACAACTACTACCAACAATAATCGTGATGATGATGAAAAATATCTTTGATATGAATAATTGAATTTTTGCCAATATTTTGTAAAGACTAAATAAAAGACTTTTGGGGAAGATTTACAAAATACAAACTGAGCAAAAAATAGTGTACTTGCAACACGAATGCATCCTCAAGACAAATTCCCTCCCTTCCTTCCAACTTCCAACCAGATCATATCCCTAAGTTGCCTTTTATATAAAAATTCCAGAGCAGTGACTGCATCTGAGGATATCTATTGCCTGAAGGATGAAATAAAATTCATGTTAGCGTCATATTCTTTTATCACCACCTTTTTTCCCCTCAAATTAATACTTACAAAGTGCCATGTTGCTACCTGGAATTTAGTGTTGCAGAGAAGAATGAGATCATACCATTGCAGAGCCATCAGTTTGGTAAAAACACAAAGGTCTTGGAAAACCAAGTATTGGAAATGAAAAGTGATGGGTGGGAGTGTCACCAGGTTCATCCAACTTAGAGAGTGACTGGCACTCTCTGAGATAGCTGAAGATGGGTCTTCTGACTCTGGAGCTCAAGCTCTCAGCAGCTCTCCTCTTCACTACTGGAGGATGGGGTCTGCCTGGAGTGGGCAGGAGCTTCTCTGACTTGCTCATCTCTTTTCTGCAGGTTCGGGCCCTAGTAGCTGACTTTTCCATCATTTTCTCCATCCTGCTGTTCTGTGGAATTGATGCCTGTTTTGGCCTGGCAACCCCCAAGCTGCTCGTGCCCAGCGTCATCAAGGTTTGCCCAGGGCCCCTGCTCTGTGCATTCTCTCCTCCTGCCCTGCCCACCAGCTGCAGATCCTTTCCCCTCTATGCTGATCAAATTTTTATGTGCTCAGCCAAGTAACCACGTGGGTTCCCTGTATGCTCCACCCTTCCCACACGGCCTGCTAGGGGCGGTCCTTTGAGATAGTGGTTTCCTCAAACCACATATATCCACGATGAACTCCTGCTGTGTAGCCACAGGATGGGGAAGGTGCTGGAATCTACTCTCCAGCCCAGCTGAAGCCCCTTGATTTCCACTTACAGGTTTACAATTCCCTCACTCATGGCAGTCTACAAGTTGGGCCATCATCTGAAAATGATCCTTTAAAACAGTGATCCTCGGGAGTTCCCTGGTGGCCTAGTGGTTAGGATTCTGGGCGTTCACTGCCATGGTTCATTCCCTGGTCGGGGAACTGAGATCCCGCAAGCCATGCGGCGAGGCCAAAAAAAAACAAAAAAACAAAACAAAACAAAACAGTGATCCTCAAAGTGTGGTCCCCAGACTAGCATCTCGCCCTCATCTGGGAACTTGTTAGAAATGCAAATTATCAGCTCTACTTGAAACCCATGGAATCAGAAAGTCTGGGGGTGGGGTTCAGGGCTTTGAATTTAACAAGCCCTCCAGGAGATTCTGGGGCCTGCTTAAGTTTGGGAACCACTGCTTCAGAATTTCCCATTAGTCTAGAGTTGGTGCCATTTGCTTGTAGCTCCGCGTGAGCCCTGCTCCCTCACAAGGAGCTCGACCCCTCTAAACTGGACTGGGAGGTACAGGTTCTAGAATTGACCCTCCCTGCCTTTGAGGGCTTGACCTTTGCAATATTATTTCAGCTTAAACATCTCATAAAACTCATGTTGGCCTTGAAATTTAAAGTACTTCTTTCTCTGAAGTAAACAAAAGGTAAACTTCAGCCCAGCTCCTGCACAGATAATCCTTTATTCTTAATATGCAAGTCTAAATTAATGTTCGGTGTTTTACAGACAATTCTATAACCTCCCCAGACAGATGACTCAGAGAAGAGGCAGAAAGCATCAGGCACTGGGCCCATCATTTTCTTTTTTCTTGCTGTTGGGCCTCATTGCCATTTCTTGTTAACATCTTTTGCAATTAGTGACCACAAGCTCTCTACCAATGCCCCCTGACTCTGCACCTCCCTGTTTCCCAGAGAAGCCCATGGCGGCTGCAACAAACCATCTCCTTTGTTCTGTAGACACCACTGCCCTTCCCAAGTCTGTGCCTCCGGGGTCTCTTTAAAGTTGCAGGTGCCTAATGTCTTTAAGGGATAAGATTGCACTTGAAAAGTACCCCAGGTGTGGGAATAGCGGGAAGTCTGGGAGAGCGGGCTAGACAACAAGTGCACCGGGACAAGGGAGAGAGAAAAGGGCCTTCTCCTTTGCTCTGCTCAGCCCACGCGGCCTGATCGAGGCTGGTTCGTGGCCCCCTTTGGGAAGAACCCATGGTGGGTGTACCTGGTAAGCATCCTGCCCGCCCTGCTGGTGACCATCCTGATCTTCATGGACCAGCAGATCACGGCCGTCATAGTCAACCGGAAGGAGAACAAGCTGAGGGTAAGGCTGGTGCTAGGAGGAGGGGCACAATCTCTTTCTTTCCACAGAGTCAGAAGGAATGAAGGAGGGAGGAGGTGCTTCTTTCAAAATGTTGGGCCATTTGTGAAGCAAAATATGAGGGCAGAAGACTGGAGTTCCGGGGGTGGGGAGAATGTGACCTCAGGGAGAATGTGACCTCCAGATGTGGGTAAGGCCAGAAGGGCCAGCGGGGAGGCTCCAAGGACCAGGACCAAGCCCAGGATGGGCCACTGGGCACGGCTCCTTGCTTCTCCCAAAGTGACCCTCCCGCTCTGTCTCCTGACAGTGAACTTGGGAGCCTGAACAGATCCTAACAAGGGGATTTTGACCCAGAACCATAAGGCAGAGGAGCATCCATAGCCTTCCTGGCCCCGCCAACTGTCCTCCCTGCCTCTGAGTCTGAGGAGACTCAGACTACTCTCTCCCCCATCCCAGCCTGGGTCACTCTCGGCTTGGTCTAGGCCTGCCCCACCTGGGACCCCTCATTAGGGAATTATAGAGATACTGGGCTGCTGGGTAGGAGAACTTCTTCCCAAGGACCCAAACCCAGGGCCTCTCCAAGCCTGAACCCCCCTCTCCTCCCTTACCTGCATCAGTTCCCTGGTTCACCAAACCCTGGGGTTGGTGAGGCCTGATCACCTCAGGGCGGCAGTCCTCTCAGGGTGCTGTGTAGAAGCCCACGGGGAGCCCTCAAAACATGTTCCACAAAATGGCTGCCTTGGGAGAGTTCTGTCTCCCCCACCCCACCCCAACAGGTGGTTGGGAACAGGCTCCCTAGACAGCTTCCTCCCTCCCACTGCCCCTGCAGAAGGCTGCTGGCTACCATCTGGACCTGTTCTGGGTGGGCATCCTCATGGCTCTCTGCTCCTTCATGGGGCTCCCCTGGTACGTGGCTGCCACGGTCATCTCCATTGCCCACATCGACAGCCTCAAGATGGAGACGGAGACCAGCGCCCCTGGGGAGCAGCCGCAGTTCCTGGGGGTCAGGTAGGTGGTGGTCAGGGCCTGAGGACCACCTGGGCAGGAGTGGTCAGATTGGGGGTAGTAGGGAGAGAAAGCAGGTTTTTCTTACCATCAAGGTATTTGGGTGAATAGGACCCCTTCTCTAACAACCCAGGAACCACAGGGATAGGAGTGATATCCCTGAAGGGAGGGAAGAGGGAGACGAAAAGTCAGTTTTAAGCTGTGCTTTCTTCTTAATAGATTCCAGTCAGTACACCCCAGCCCCTACACATGCTCTCACCTCTCACCTGTATAGGCTGCTCAAGAGTTCCCACAGAGCCCCTTCTGACCTGACTCTTTGTCTCCTCTTCAAGACTCCCTAGCCATGCCGTCCCCCAAATACCCCAAAGCAGGGTTCGGGTCCTGCTCAATCTCCATTCCTCCAGAAAGCCTTTCCAGGACCACTCCCACCCCCTGGGCTGTGGCCCATGCCCTGTCACTTCCGTTCCTTCACTCGCCCCTCCTCTCATGTGAATGTTTCAGGCAGGGAAGCGCATCTTCCACCCCTTCGGACCTCTGGGGTGAGCCCACATCAGACCCTGGCATTCTCATACATGGCTGTCCTAAGAGCTTCTCCTCACTACCTCGGAATTCCTGGGCTGCCCGGCCAGCCCTGAGCAAGGTTCCTATGGTCAGGGCAGGGTCCCCTCCCCAACCCCTGAGCCCCAGATGGCTGGGCCTGAGCAATCTGCCCCAGAGCCCCAAGCTTCCCCTGGACTTGTGCCTGGGTCTGAGCACTCCAGAAAACATACCTGCCCTCCAGCCCCTGATACCTGCTCTGCCAGCAGCCAGGCCCCATTCCCTTAAATCCTCATTCTGTCATGCTTTACAAGCGTGCGACCTTGTTATAATCAAAAGGCAGGGATAATAAGCGCTTCATATCCCACTTCATCCTCACAACAACCCCTGAAGTGCGTGCCATTAGTCATGTTCTACTAATGCTGAAGACATTTAGGGCCTTGCCTGATGTCACACAGCTAGTAAGTGGCAGAGCCAGGATTCAACCCAAGCTGGTCTGGCTCAAGCACCCCTTGTTAGCCACTGCACTGGATAACCTCCTGAACACCCCTACAAATGCCCTCACCTCAGTTGGATTCCCTCTCTTCCCATGTGCCAGGCAGCTGGTCCTCACGTCACTGGTTTACTCTCTGGAATGGGGCAGCAAGGCAGAGGCCAGAGCCTCGGACACAACCTTCAAGTGCCCACAGAGGGCTGGAATGGTCATGGAGCATCTCCCAATCCACCCTGACCGTGTGTTCTTTTCTGCCAGGGAACAGAGAGTGACCGGCACCATTGTCTTCATCCTGACAGGGATCTCTGTCTTCCTGGCTCCCATCCTGCAGGTGAGGCTCTGCACCCTCTGCTAGGGCCCTGTCCGCCTGAGAAGGCACTGATCCGATGCCTCAGAGGGGGGAACGGCCTCCCCACAAGGCCCCTAAAAAGGCAGGATCCTATTAGGCCAGACATGTTTCATCATTATTACTGTTTTCTGTAATGTTGCATCCTTTATTATCAGCAGCAGGCCATCCTCACTGCTCTTTCCCACCCCTCCCAGGGTCCACCCTCACCTTTCTGAAGGACACTTCCCACAGATATTTCTGCCAATTTCCATCCTTGCTTAAATCAGTAGCTTCTCAAGCTGGTTGTGTTTCCACGTTGTGGTTTATGGCCTCCTTGCTCACCTATTTTCTGAAGTTTAAAACTTGCAGGGGAGAGGGAGGCTTCTGTCCTTGTTCTTGGGGCCTGTTTTCTGCTCCTCTGTTGCATGTCTTGGGCGCATAGGTGACTTTTTCCCACACTGTTCGAAGCCCCTCTTGCTCATGTCCTTCCAGATCAGCTGGAAGAGATGATAGCAATGGGGTGTGCATTTGGAGCATGGGTCCCCCAGAAAGGCTTTCCATTCCAGCCATTCACCTCTTGTATTAGTCTGCTCTGGGTGCCACAACAAAAGGCCACAAACTGGGTGGCTTAAACTAGACATTTATGTTCTAGGAGTAGATCATGGTCTTTCCTCATGTGTGCACGTCTGTGTCCTATGTAATGTGTCCTGTGTCTCTTCTTATAAGGACCAGTTGTATTGAATTAGGCTTCATCCATATGACTTAATTTTACCTTAATTACCTCTTTTAAGGATCTATCTCCAAATTCAGTCACATTCTGAGGTACTAGAGGTTAAGACTTTAACATATGAATTTGCCTGGGCGGGGGTGTGGGGGTTGGTTAAGGCGCAATGGCTCTTTGGCAGCCTCTCCACAAAAGTAGACATTCCCTGGCCATTTAAAATACTCTTATTAAATAAACAAAATGCCTGCCCCCCACCCCCCGTATGCAATCTGTTTCCTGCCAAATGGAAACATCCGTTAAAAAAAATACCCAACCTCAAACCTGTTTGGTTGTGCCCAGCACCAGTTCTCAAGCCAGAAATATTTTCCATTGTAAACAAATGAATTAACATCATGGTTCTTTAGCCTTCATTGTTTTACAAGCTTACCGCGAATGAGCTTGTAAAAAGATATTCAAAGGGAAAAATAGCTGCAAAAGATTGGGTGACTACAACTTAGCTTAATTCAAGAAAGGAAAGCCTTCTGAAGGCATTAAGGGAAAGGGCCACTGACAGGTCACGACGCGGAGTCTTAACCACTGCGCCACCAGGGAAGTCCCCTGCTGCAGTTTCCGGCACAAAT